CACCCATCCTCCACTTCTGCTGCCTAGACGGAGGCGCTCCAGCATGCGGCATTGCCGCTCACCTTCCCTATCCGCAGGCGGAAAAGCAGAGAGAGCAGCAACTCTTGAGGAGCTCCCCGGCTCCCGCCAATTCGGCAAGAGTTGGAGCATTCCTGTATGCCAGTTGCACTCAGTTCTCTCCTGGGAAGAAGCCACTTAGCAACACTCTGATCAATGCCCGCGGCTCCTGCTGAGTTTGGCAAGGACCAGGGCGTGGCAGTGATGAGGCACTGCGGTGGGCCGGGTGGCAACAATTCCCGATTCACCTCAGGTGGTGAAAAAGAATGGGCTGCACTGCCCCATCAACCTCAGTCTGCTGCCCTCAGGCAGCCTGCTCCTGCCTGTCTTCTTATTTACAAACAGTCCAGGGAGGTGAATCTCAGTGTTTGTGCCTTGTTAAACCCACCAGGGAGGAGAATGGGGATAAAGTGTTGGTGCTGATCTTTAAAGCCCTAAATGGCCTCAGCCCAGTATACCTGAAGGAGCGTCTCCACCCCCATCATTCTGCCCGGACACTGAGGTCCAGTGTCGAGGGCCTTCTGGAGGTTCCATCACTGCGAGAAGCAAAGCTACAGGGAACCAGGCAGAGGGCCTTCTCGATAGTGGCGCCCGCCCTTTGGAACGCCCTCCCATCAGATGTCAAAGAGAAAAACAACTACCTGACATTTAGAAGACATCTGAAGGTAGCCCTGTTTAGGGAAGTTTTTAATGTGTGATATTTTAATGTATTTTTAATCTTTGTTGGAAGCTGCCCAGAGTGGCTGGGGAAACCCAGCCAGATGGGCGGGGTACAAATATATTATTATTATTATTATTATTATTATTATTATTATTATAAAACAAAACTTATCTAGCTCTCCCTGTCAATGGCTCCGACTCCACCTACTGGTTGAAAGCCTCTATGGGTGAAACTACTACTGGAAGGAAGTTAACTTGATGCCTGTTTGAACATTCATCAGGATGCATGATCTGCGGTACCTCAGCTATGCAAAGCAGGTGGGATCACTCATCTGAAAGTGCTACCTGGTCAAAATTTCCTTGTTCATGTAACACACCCCGGAAGGTACAGTGAGAAACCTTTCCCTCAGGCTAACTTGGCACATGACGGACTGTTTAGCAGCTGTGGAAGACAGAAAGCTGGGGTTTATAAGCCTTGTTCAGAAGTGTTGCTCATGTGTGAGGAAGGGGCTTCGTGGCAACTAGCCCACTGGGATGGGCAAATCTGCCAAATCTGCTTTCTCTCATCTCCCCATTTTTCCAATCTTGAGTTCAGTTCACCACATTTCCACACACAGAGATATATACAGTGCTTTTTTTTCTTAGGGGTACTCTCATTTTGACTCAAGAAAACCACCATTTTATAGTTCAAAGCGTGGGGAAATAAATACAGTAAATACAACAAAACTGACCAATCACTGTGCTAGATTCCAACTCCTACTTCACACATTAAATGCTCGCTTCCGTCTGAGACTCAGGAAACACCGCGACAGGAAATGAGGCCGCCATCAGGAGTAGCAATGGAAGTGATGATTCACTGTGCTAGAGAAGACACTAAAAACATTAAAATTTTTAGTTTCTTCTCCCATTAGATTCACAAAATGTTTAGGGGTGTGCGTACCCTGACGTAGCCCCAGAAAAAAGCATTTGAGATGATGATAGATAGATAGATAGATAGATAGATGATAGATAGATAGATAGATAGATATAGATGATAGATAGATAGATGATAGATAGATAGATAGATGATAGATAGATAGATAGATAGATGATAGATAGATAGATAGATGATAGATAGATAGATAGATAGATATAGATAGATAGATAGATGATAGATAGATAGATAGATAGATAGATAGATGATAGATAGGTGATAGATAGATAGATAGATGATAGATAGATGATATAGATAGATAGATGATAGATAGATAGATAGATAGATAGATAGATAGATAGATAGACAGACAGATATATCTGTAGGACTAGATTAACCATTAAGCAAAATAAGCATGCATTTAGGGCATCAAGGGAAGGGGAGACCACAGAAATTTTCCATTGCAAGATATACCATATATTTATACTACCACTACTAGTACTACTACTACTAATAACATAGTAATAATAGAGACTAATGATATAGGATTTATTGTTGTTTATATTTTGAATTAGGTATATATAAGGGCACCAAAATCTTTTAAGTGCTCATGGCCTCTAAAAAATCTTAATCTGGCCATGTATAGTGTGTGTGTGTGTGTGTGTGTGTGTGTGAGCACACTCATGAAAATTCACCAGCAGCATTTTAGCACAAAGTTATCCTGATGTACACATTTTTGCATGCAACGTATCTGTAGTGCAGTATTTATTCGGGAAATAAGCCATGAAGCACAAGGGATATGGAGGAGCGGAAGTCAATTTTGTGCTGAAGGCAATGGTCTATGGGGGGTGGTATCAAAGCATTTTTTTTTTTGCTTGAAGAGTTGACAAGGAGGTGGTAGAGAAGGAGGAGATTGTCTGTGGAGGCAATTCAGATGGGATGATATTGAGTGCAAGGAGTCTTGATGAAAAATGCTTTGTCCATCCACATCTAATCTTGCCCCTTTCTAAAATTTGTTTATTGGTGTGTGTTTTTCTTTTTGCAAATCTACCAAAGAGTGATAAAAAGGGGGGATTAAGGAGTTTTCTCAGGATGGTGGAAGGCGTGTGTTCTATGTCCCATTGATGTGGCGGCATTCAACCTTCTTCTGACAGGAAATGCTCTGCATGGCAAAAATGGAGGGTTGAGGAGGGTCAGTTGGGGGGAGTGAATGAGAAATGTTCCTATTTTCACCTGAGGAATACAGGAGAGTATGCAAGGCAATGCCTCTACTCTCATGTTCTGCATGGTACAGTCCTATAAGGACAACATGGCCCCCCTTAGCAGTTGAAATAGTTCTCGCTTGCTCTCAATGACACTAGAGAAGGGAAGCTCCATGTTCAAAAATAACGTCTGGAAATCAGAGGAATGTTGTTAGCATTCACAAGGTGACACACTCACGCAAAGAATTCCAGCCCTCTTTCTCCAAATGTAATTTGAGCCGGCCTGATAAACAGCAACCACAAGTCAATAGTGGGTTACTATTTACCACCAAGTTCCTGCACGGCGGTCACTAAGGGCTCGTGGTTTTATAAGGACATGTTGTTGAAGAATGAGTTGGTCAATCACCGGCGAAGTCAGTGCTATGAATTGAATGAGAAATGCCTATTTCATGCCCATTTGTTTGGAAGGCAATCTGAAAGCACCGCATGTCTATATATTTAACATTCACATCCTATTTCACCTGAGATTGTAAATGCAGATTGAAATCAAGGCGCTTTTTTTCAGCCGGAACTCACTGGAACTCAGTCATAGCTGTCAACTGTCCCTTATTTGGTGGGAAACTCCCTTATCCCAGCGCTGTGTCCCGCTGCTGTCCCTTACTAATGATGTCCCTTAAATTTCCCGGGTTTCATGCTCGCCTGGCTCGGGAGGGAAGCAGTGGCTCGGGGTCCTCCGCCTTGAGAGAGTGCGCGCACGAGCTGCCGCGTCTCCGTCTCTCCCTTTTCCCCCTCGGGTGCGTCATGAGGAGATGAGTGGCAGCGGGCGGGCAGGCAGCCCCTCTCTTGCGAGACTTCCGCCACGCTGCCAGGGGAAACCGGAGGCGGCAGCAGTGGCTGAGGAGGCGACCTGAGGGAGGAAGAAGAGGAGGGGATGGGGAGGGACACAGAAGGGCAGCGCTTCAGCGGCCGCCGCGGCGCCGCAACCACCTCATGCCGGGCTCGCGGGCGGCGTGGGTGAGAGTCTCTCTTCCTCCCTCTCTCTCGGGCGGGGAAGGGCCGATGGAACTCCTCACGCCAGGACAACGGCAGCCCCAACGTGCTGCTTAGCATACCCTCCAACCAGTGCAGCATCTTAATGTAGTGATTTCCCCCTCTGCATCCCTTTCATAACTCTATTTTTATAAATCCTTTGTCCATCCATAGTTCGAATTTTTACTACAAGTTTTCTGTCAATCGTACCAATGTATGTAACTCTTTACAATAGCTTTTCAAATAAATTATAAACTTTCCCCATTCTTTATTAAAGAGGTCCTCTTCCTGGTTTCTAATTCTGCCTGTAAGCTTTGCCATCTCGACGTCGTTCATCAGTTTTGTCTGCCACTCTTCTTTGGTCGGAGTTGTAGACCCTTAGGATCATCTAGTCCAACCCCCTGCAAAACACAGTCAGTCGCAGCCAAAGCAGCATGGCTCCATGAGTGGCGGATTTCTGTATAAGCTAATCCCAAATCCCTTATTTTGGCTGCTGATCCCTTATTTTCGAGGCTGCTGGCCCCTTATTTTCAAATCTGTAAGTTGACAGCTATGAACTCAGTTCTGGCACCATTGCCATTATAAGAAAACAAGGGAGGTGTTCATGGTGAATTCGGCACCTCTTTTTCTAGAAGAATAGCACTGGTTGAAATATGGTAACAACTAGAATGGGAAAAGGTAGCTGTTTTCTAGAAATAAACAGCCTCACATCCCGGCACGTTCCTCTTCCCATTGCACAAGCCGGCAAACAAACCAGGGACTTTATCATTTCCTATTACATCGGAGCTGGGGAACTATGGCTAACAGCTTTCGAACAAGCTAACTTTAAACCCTAGTTTTATATACTGGCTTGCTCCAAAGAGATTCCCTATGCAATCGATGTAGCTCTCCTTTTCAGATTTTCAGAGTATGGGGAATCCAAAACTAGTCTGGCTGGTTCGACAGCTGCTTCTACTAGATTCTGAACCTCACTGGGTGCAGAACCACAGGCCTGGAAGGGGTCCACACAACCCCACAACCCTAGAACAGTAACAGTATTATTCAGCCTGGCACTGGCTCTCCAGGGTTTCAGACCAGAGATATTCCCAGAGCTACCTGCAGATGTCAGGGGTTGAACCTGGGAGTTTCTGTAGGCAACACAGTTGCTCTACCTCTGAGCTAGAGTCCACCTCTCAGCCTCAGCAAGGACGCTTGTTGCAGAAAAGCAGGCTGTTGACCTCTCAAATGCAGGTAAGCTTGTCACCGCACAGCCACCTTGTAAATAAACACCAGGCACTCGACTCCACCTCTTACTATTGCTGGCCAAACATTCATGACTCATTCTTCCATGCAGCATCAGAGACACGGCAGCCTAGGAGAGCAAAACAAACAGGTGCTGGATATGACATTCCAGCGCAATCTCCGACATGGGCCAGGTGAGTTATATGACCACGTTATTTACGAATCCCTAAACACAAGGGATGTGGGGTGGAGTTCAACTCTGCTCGTGCCTAAAGGAGAAATGACCTAATTTGCAAATTTCTAAATGACCCATGAACCATCCTTCAAAATCCTCTGAATTTTGCAGAGCCCTGTGCATGAACATGCATGACATCACTGAAAACAGCATTCAAAAATGCCTTGTATTAGGGGGAAATAGATTTGCGAAAATGGGTATGTTAGGCAAAGCTGCCTGTAAAAATGTGTATATTGGAAGCAATTCACATTTACACGCTGGTGGGTTTTTATGAGGACATTTTTTTAAAAAAAGCAAATTGATATGGAAATGTTGAGAACGGAACATAAGACTTGAAAAATGAGAAGCTGACAAAAACTGAAACTTACAGATCCACCCATCCCAGTGAGCGATTTGAGTTTTAGAACTTCTCCCTCCCTTCTAAAGACTTTCCCCCTTTAGAATCTGTTGTTTGGAGAAGCCCCAGCTGAAGACATTGCCTTACAGGGGTCATTTCAACATGACTCAAACCTATATCATGTTACTTCCCATTAGAAGGCTCTTTTCCACTGAGCTACCAGCTAGCTTCTGAGGGTAAACCCCTGAAATGCTTCCTTCTGTTTGCAGAATGTCCTTGTGCAAGAATTGCTCCTTTTGCTGTCATGGAGCTTGAACCTTTCCCTTGGGGACACCTTCAGCCTACCAGTCTATGCAGCTGGCTGGGTGCTGGCTGACCAGAATGACACATCGTCCTTTGTCTCCAAGTGCCAGAGTTTTCTTCAAAAAGGCAAAAATAGCCAGGAGTGAGAAGGGACACACCTCAATCCGTTTTTCAAAATTTCAGAATTCTTTGCCACAGCATTTCATTCATTCATTCATTTATTTATTTTATTGACATATAAAACGCATATATATACATTTACACAATACACGTACACAACACACTACCTAATTTTCATAACATAAAACATACCTACATTACTCTATATAATACCTACCTATACTATACATATCAACATACCTACACACCTGCCCCGTACGGACACCCACCAAGTGACTTGACTTCTAGCCGTTCTTGTTACGCTACTTTATTTTTCCAACTAGCTTAAACACATTTCATTATTTCTTTAATCTCTTCTCTTTTTTATTAACTTTACTCTCCTTTCACTCTAACCATTTTCTGGATTCACTCAGTATCTGTCAGAAATTCTACATTTTCCACATAAATTTTGATGTATTCCCACTCCTTATTCACTTTTTGTACCATATCTCCTCTTATCCTCCCTGTTAGTTCAGCATTTCCCTTGTACTGTAGCTACGATCGCTCAGCTTTTCTTCAAGCTAAATTCAGGCATTTGCTCTGGAGGTATTGAGACTCAGCCTCCTCATTTTAGGCAGCATGTGCTGATCCAGAGACTCTGCATGAAGAAAAAGTTTTCTTTAAAATTTCTCTTTCCCACCCTCATGCCTCTCAAAGTATGTTTATCCATCTCTGGTAATTTCTTCTGCCCTTCCCCTTTCACGTTCATCTCTCTACCCCACCCAGCCACCAAATGGCTGAATTCTTTTGTTGCTCCTCTCTGATCTTTTCACTTCTTCCTCCTATATACTTCTTCCTCCAGAATGTGGCAGCTAGACTGGTGACTGGGAGCGGCCGCTGAGACCATATGACACCGGTCCTGAAAGACCTACATTGGCTCCCAGTACGTTTCCGAGCACAATTCAAAGTGTTGGTGCTGACCTTTAAAGCCCTAAACAGCCTCGGCCCAGTATACCTGAAGGAGCGTCTCCACCCCCATCGTTCTGCCCAGACACTGAGGTCCAGCTCCAAGGGCCTTCTGGCAGTTCCCTCACTGTGAGAAGCAAAGCTACAGGGAACCAGGCAGAGGGCCTTCTCGGTAGTGGTGCCCACCCTATGTAACGCCCTCCCATCAGATGTCAAAGAGATAAACAACTACCTGACATTTAGAAGACATCTGAAGGCAGCCCTGTTTAGGGAAATTTTTAATGTATGACATTTTAATGTATTTTTAATCTTTGTTGGAAGCCACCCAGAGTGGCTGGGGAAACCCAGCCAGATGGGCAGGGTACAAATACAGTGGTACCTCGGGTTACATACGCTTCAGGTTACATACGTTTCAGGTTACAGACTCTGCTAACCCAGAAATAGTGCTTCAGGTTAAGAACTTTGCTTCAGGATGAGAACAGAAATCGGGCTCTGGAGCCGTGGCGGCAGCAGGAGGTCCCATTAGCTAAAGTGGTGCTTCAGGTTAAGAACAGTTTCAGTTAAGTACGGACCTCCGGAACGAATTAAGTACTTAACCCGAGGTACCACTGTAAATTGTTATTGTTATTGTTATTATTTCAGCTTTTCTCTCTTCTCCCCTTCATTTCAATTCCGACTTTGCTTTTATGACAACAACCTTTTGCCTCACTTTATAATTCCTTCCCCTTTCTCCAGCCCTTTCCCTTCAGAGGATCTTCCTATTTCCCCTTTGCTACTGTTTTCATTGAAACCTATTCACAAACCAAAAACTTACACCTTGGCCACTAATAATGAACCAAAGGTCATAGTCATTACTGCAAATTTATGATGCTTTCTTTGTGGTACACAAACGGCATTAGTTGACTTAAGAGTCACTTCCTTGAGGAAAGATGGTTGGATGTTGTGCAACAAATGAGTAACGCTTTGATTTTCTTCTAGAAACCAAAATATATGATCTGCTGGAAAGGCCCTAAGTTAGAGATTGGCTATCATATCGGTTGTGACTGACCTCTTCCTTTTTCCTTTGGTGTTTTAAGAAAGTCATGAGTGATTAGCAGGTGACCTGCTAGGAGACTCAGTCAATTCCAATTAGAGGAAGTTTTGTAGAAACCTCAGCCCCGAGAAGGGAGCAAAGTCTCACAGCTAATTTGTTATCTTGCATCTAAACAGCATCACAAGGAAGGTACGAAAAGAAAAATAGGTACGTGACGCTGAGTCCATTCCAAAGTTTCACTTCTCTATGCAGATTCTGAAAATGATTTAGGGATGTGAAATGGCTGAAGAAGGCCTGTGTCTGTCTCTGTGTGATTCTGAGAGAGGCACATATCTGACGAAGATCCTTGGAATACAGTGGTGCCTCGGGTTAAGTACTTAATTTGTTCCAGTGGTCCATTCTTAACCTGAAACTGTTCTTAACCTGAAGCACCACTTTAGCTAATGGGGCCTCCTGCTGCCGCCACGCCGCTGGAACACGATTTCTGTTCTCATCCTGAAGCAAAGTTCTTAACCCGAGGTACTATTTCTGGGTTAGCGGAGTCTGTATCCTGAAGTGTATGTAACCTGAAGCGTATGTAACCCGAGGTACCACTGTATGAGCATATAAGAAGAGTCCTGCTGGATTAACCCGAGCAGAACAGCACTCCTCGCGCCAGGGCTTCCAGCAACTCATATTCAGAAGCATTACTCCCTCTGTTTTAGAAATGATTTTTATTGGTTTTACATATAATTACATTAAGTAACATCATACCCTCTTAGTTTATCTCTTTGACTCAACTGAGCCCAATGACTTCCCTCCCTCCTGTCTGGTGGTTTTCAAAATTAAACTTTACATCTTTAGATTTCGCTTCATTTCCTACCCTTGTTCTATCATTACCTAAAATATTCTATTACTCAACCTGAATAGGGAGCAATTTCATCTTACAGATCTTCGGATAAACTTGCTAATGATGTTAATTGCTTACAGTTGTTTTTCAAATATAATGTGAATTTGTTCCAGTCCTTTTGGAATGCTTGGTCTCGCTGGTTCAGAATTCTTCCCGTCAGTTTCGCCAGTTCTGCAAAATCCATCAGCTTCATCTGCCACTCTGCTTTTGTTGGTAACTCCTGTTGTTTCCATCTTTGGGCTAACAAAATTCTTGCCACAGTTGTTGCATATAAGAACAATATTTTATCTTGTCTTGGTATCTCTCTACCCACTATACCCAATAAAAAGGCTTCTGGTTTAGAAGCCTCTGACGGTGGAGGCAGAACATAGCCATCCAGGCTAGTAGTCATTGATAGCTTTTTTCTTCATGTTGAATCCTTGTTTAAAGCCATCTAAGTTGGCAGCCATCACTGCCTCCTGTGGCAATGAGTTCCATAGTTTAACTATGCAATGCATGAAGGACTTTCTGTCAGGAGTTCAGCCTACACTCGAGTAGGACCCTGGCAGAGACACATGCTCAACTGGCATGTTCCCTCCCTCCTGGTCAATCGTTTGGGAGCTTCAAAAGATTTCTTCAGCCCAAACATCACAGTGACCGATTCCAACAGACATCGGCACACTTGGGGATCCACAGAGTTTGCGCATCTTGCGTGACAGACCTCAGCAACTCAGCATTTTGGCTAATCTACTTTATTTACATATAAACACACAGAGAGCACTGCAATATGGCTCCCTCTCTCTCTAGCATCAGACTGCAAAGAGAAAAAGGACAAAGGACAATAGTCCCCCTTCACGGAACACAGTAACACAAACATCCTGTCTCCTTCACTTCCCACTTTGTGGAGTCAAAACATACACCGTCATGTGATAGACAACAATCCCATGACTGCAATCATGGAGCAGGAATTCTAACACTTTCTTTTATCTGACCTGAATCTTCCAACATTCAGCCTCATTGGATGTTTGTGATTTCTGTTACGAGAGAGGGAGAAAAAACCTATCTCTATCCACTTTCTCCATGCAGTGCATAGTTTTATAAACTTCTGCCGTGTCACCTGTGCTTCTGTATAGCTCACCTTTCCAGAATGACAAAAAGGTTGTTTGCAAGACAGATGCTCTCTTCACATATAATAAATGCACTCAGGTTAGTCATCTCCCTTTCTTCTAAAATTCACCGAACGCCTAAAGAAGGCTTTTGTCTTTCAAACATGAAAATAGGTACTGGGGAGGAATCTGATTCAGTTTGCATTTAAAGGTGAACCTGTTGCACTTTCTGAAAAAATACGAGAATGGAAATGGAGCTGTCCTTTGAAATGTATTTTCAAAGTCAAAGTCTTCTCTGAATTTTGCAATGAGTTCTCAAGTCAAGTCAAGTACACAAAAATGCACAGTTGGGTAAAGCACCCATAAAAATGCACATATTGCACATATTGGTGAAAATAACCCGCAATAAATATTATTTTACAGAGAAATGCTTTTGGAAAATGTGTATCTTAGGAAAATGTGTATATAAGAATGTGTTTACTGCCCTCTGGTCTTCAGATGAAGGATGGTATAAAAATTTAATAATTAAGACTAATGATATACAGTATCTGGAGAAATTGACACTAAAATGGTGATGAATTCTAATGAGGACTTTTAAAAAATGCACACAACTGATATGGAAATGTGAAAAACTGAACTTAAAATGGGGGGGGGGGATGAGGAACTAAAATCGGCAGATTGGCCCATGTCTACATGGAAGACAGACAATTCTAGACAATATATTTCCCAAGAACACGGCAGCAAAATGCTGCCTGGGAAGACAGAGGAAAGGAAGCAAAATATATGCTTATTTTTAAAAATACCCATTTAAAGGACATAAAAATCTGTTCTCAAACACTCTAGAGTGGTACCAGCCAGGTCCCCACCCTGAGAGTTTAACCTGAGGTGAACGTTGGTCATGTATGATTGCCACAACATCCTGTCTCCAAATAACACTTTTCGTTTCAAGAAAACCATCTCAGGATCCCTGATGAGCAGCAAAATAAGAGTAGCTACCAAAGACTTGTTTACTGATAGCAAAAGCCTGTCACAATTAACCCTGCTTAATGAGTGAAGGGGCAACATCAAAGGAGTGGATGGATACTGGGCAACGCACATTTGCATGTTGTTGTGTCAGGTACAGGAAGTTAAAGTCCAACGAAGTTTATTTACAAAATTAAAGATTGTACCATTGTTGTTGAATGCTTCTTTAATGATGAGTAATCTCTGACTGTTTCAACACACCCACATTTCCTATCCTCTCTCACTATGAATCCACACAGTTTTTACATTTCAGCAGTTGTGGAAGATTTCTTCTCCCTGCTTGGCACATAACCAAGCTTGCCCAATGAAGCAATGCCTATGTGACTTTACATCATCACTTTTCACAGCAATTGATGGGGAAAATTCTTCACATACTTCTGATTATCATTGTTATTGATTTGGTGAGGAAACCCCCCTCCCCACCAAACCCTAGAAATTAATAAATTTGATTATTTGGAGAACTGAAGGTAAGATCGGAAGTCAATGAAAAATTGCAGGCTAAGATTTTTTTCCCCAAGCCAGGGCCTGGGAGAGAGGCATTAACACAACCAAATGGTTGATAGTCCTCCTGAGAGGAATTATGGGCCTCAGCAGACAGAGGTTGCCATGGTAATGAGGTGTATGTTTGTGACATGAAAAGAGCGTATTTAGAACAGGCATGTCCAAAGTCAGTTTGGGGGGCCTAATTTGGCCTACTGGTCGGTTGGGGTAACCCCCCCCAAAAAAGTTCAATCTTAAAAAAAGCTCAACAATTTCGGCCCTCACACATGTTATCTGGCCGTCTTTGAAAAAGTTTGAGCACCCCGATTTACAACGATGTGTACTGAAGAGAAGAAGGGGAGAAGACTGGGCTCCATTTTGGGCAGGCTGGCTGAAGGCAGGCTGGGAGAGATGCCATGCTGTGAGATCTGGACTCCATCCATGCAGACTGAAGGTGTAAATAGGTGAATAAACCCTATTTCTTAAAGCTATGAGAGTTTCTGCTATGTCTCAATTCTCTAAAGGAACGTAGACCTTGAGTGAGTGCCTGGAACCCCCTGAAATCTTGCTACCACTCAGCAGAGATGGAGGGGTGGGCACCTGATTTTTGTAACATTATTATATCTGCAAGTACCTTCACACATTGTAGCCAGTGTGGGAAACCTTTGGAAATTTGTAATTCCAGATGTTGCTGAATTACATCCCTGGGCATTGGCCATGCTTGCTGGGGCTGATGGGAGTTGTAGTTCAGGGCCAAAGGTCCCATGTTCATTGGCAATTAGGCTTCCCCATGCATGGTGGGGAAGTACGGCCCTGTGTGCTGCTCCCAACATCACCTTCTCTACTGGAGCTCCACACATTGAACCCTCTGGAGACCTGCACATTGAGTGGAAAGTCTGAAAGAGAAACCTATGTGTGTTCACTGAACTACCAAAATGTGCAAAGGCTCCTCCACATAGTAATAATAATAATAATAATAATAATATCTTTATTGTCATTGCCCCCTTCGGGGACAACGAAATTACTTGACTGCTCCATAAAAACACTAATTAATCAATACAGTATAATACAGCAAGGGAGATTAGATGACTTTCAAAGTCCGGGCTTCCCATTCAGGGCCGAGATCGCTCTGGAGAAGAAGCTGTTCTTAAGACGGCTCGTTCTTGTCTTCATCGTCCTGTATCTCCGTCCCGACGGCAAGAGCTCGAAGAGACAGTGACCAGGATGCGATGGATCTTTTACTATGTCCAGTGCCTTCCTATGGCACCTTGTGGTATAAATCTGCTCTAAGGTGGAGAGTGGGCAGCCAACAATGCTCTCTGCTGCCTTAACAACCCTGCACAACCCCATCCTGTCCTGGGTAGTACAGCTTCCGTACCAGCTGCTATGAGGACAAACAGCAAGAGATGGCCATAATGCTCAGTGATACATATCTGACTGGAAGCTGTTGAGAACTGAATAATTGGCAGAAGGTGGGGTTGCCTGGATGTGTGTCTGCTCCTCCCATCATAACACTGGGCTAGGAGTGTTAGATGGCGGGGGGTGGGTTAGAGAACAAGGCCAGCCCAACACAGCAAATGATGTCCATTTCAAGGCCTGTACTACCAGAAGCAGCTTGCCAGGTGGTGAGAAGGTTGGCACAGTGCAAACACATTGTTGGGAATGTTCAGTTGCCTCTGCTGGTGTGTTAGCAACCTGCTGACCTCCCCGCCCATCTTGACCCTCCCTCCCGTGGTAAACAACAGTGACCTCACCTGCTGGGAAACTAACACATCAGCTCCACCCCACCCAGCTCTTACCCAAGGCCATCCAAGTTATTTCGGTACCCAAGACAAAAAATCCCACACGTGCCTCTTCTCTTCCTTGGCAGAATCATAATCACTCTCAACATCACCTGATTCACTTGCCCCAAGTCAGCTGCCTGTAATAGCCACCACTTTCTGCCTAATGGTAGGGCCATGTTGGAGAAGGGCTTCGATATATGATCCCAACTTACGGGGAGGTTCATATGGGTGTTTGGCACTGGTATAAAATAGATTTCTTGTTTGAATTTGACAGTATTAACTGGGGCAGTATACTATTGGATTGAAAATGATCTCCATTCATGTAATATGCATACTCATGTTTGTTTTACGAGCTCTAGATGTCTGTTAACGACATCCTTAAGGGGTGAAAAGACACACACACAACTTAGTGTAAAACTGACCTTTTGCAACCTGCTGGTGTGGCAGATGCCTGGGAACTTTTCCTGAACCCAGCAATGCAACACAAACACCTTAATTTGCTCCTGTGGAAATAAAAGGGGGGAGTGGAGGGGTGAAAACAGCATTCACTGGAGGAAACAAAGCACCATGAGATGCCAGAGGGTGGGGGAACTGAACCGCAATCTCCTCAAAGCCTGAATATATATGTATCTATGAGATCACCTCCTCTGCTACATTCCATGATATCATAATAGGTGAAACGCTCAGCCTTTTCAGTTCCTCAAAAGGACATCTGCAGATGTGGTTGACAAATTGTTTCATCGGGGGGAAGGGATGGGGAAAAAAAGATGAGTCATGCTGCTAGTTTAAGGTGATGGTGGTGGGGCAAAACATTTGGACCTTTGAGCTATTTTTTAAAATTAAAATAAATCCTATGCACGACTCCTCGTTGATTTCAATGGGGCTTTCTCTGAGGTAAATGGTTACAATTCTTTGCATACTTCCCTGGGAGTAACTACCATTGAAGCCTATCTTTGACGGGCTTCAGGGCCGGCCCAGCCATTGGGCAGGTTGAGGCTACCGCCTCAGGTGGCAGAAGGCCCTGAGGCGGCACCCCATGGGTGTCCTGCCCCCTCCAGAGAGATCCTTCCTGAAATTTGCTCCAAGGCCAGCACCGCTTCTCCACCAGCGGTGGAGGCAGCAGAGTGGGCATTGCCTGTGGTGGCAGCAGTGGCAGGGAAAGGTGGCACTTCCTGTTTCCCCTTTCACATGGTGAAACAGGACACACTGCCACTGACAGTCTGTCTTTATTAGTGATGTGCCTCCATGTGCCTTCAGATCATAACCTGGGGCCGAAGAAGAAGAAGAAGAAGAAGAAGAAGAAGAAGAAGAAGAAGAAGAAGAATTTATACCCTGCCCATCTGGCTGGGTTTTCCCAGCCACTCTGGGCGGCTTCCAACTGAATATTAAAAACAATACAGCATCAGACATTAAAAACTTCCCTAGACGCCTTCAGTTGTCTTTTAAAAGTAGAATAGTTGTTTATTGTCTTGAAATCTGGTGGGAGGGCGTTCCACAGGGCAGGCACCACTACCGAGAAGGCCCTCTGCCTGGTTCCCTGTAACTTAGCTTCTCGCAGTGAGGGAACCGCCAGAAAGCCCTCGGCGCTGGACCTCAGTGTCCGGGCAGAACAATGGGGGTGGAGACGCTCCTTCAGGTATACAGGACTGAGGCTATTTAGGGCTTTAAAGGTCAGCACCAACACTTTGAATTGTGCTTGGAAACGTATTGGGAGCCTACATACAACGCAGCTCTCTGAGCATGGGCTTTCCTTTTCTCACACACCTCTGAATGTGTGGGTGTTGGCAACGTGAAGGCAGACTTGTGGACTGGACGAATGCCTCCCCCTGTCATGATGTAAAGGCAGCCCAATAAGAAGCACTTAATTGTGGTTGTTGCATTTTCCTTCAAAGCATTGACAGAGATGAGTTGTACCTCTGGTCTGAGACTCCAATGTGGGAATAAGTTTGTACAAAGTGAGGCAGTGGCTGTTAAATGAGTTAGTTTTCATATCTTCTTTTGCTTATCTTTCAATATTAATAGTACCGTTTTGGAGTTCTCTTTTAAGACTTTATGCTTGTATGCATACATGCTTATAACATAACTGAATTTGAATTCTGAATGTTAATATTGATTAGTTGGTAACAGTGTAATTGGTGCTGTGCATATGTCCACACCTGCACCTCACATTTACAACAGCATTGTGCCACTTTAAACAGTCATGGCTTCCCCCAAAGAATCTTGGGAACTGTAGTTTGCTAAGGCTGCTGTGTGTTGCTAGGAGACCCCATTCTGCTCACAGAGCTACAAATTACAGAATGGTTTAACAATCAACCCTTCTTCCTATGGGAATTGTAGCTCCATGAGGAGAATAAGAATCTCCTAAGTACTCTCAGCACCCTTAACAAACTACATTTTCCAGAATTCTTTGGGGAAAACCATAGCTGTTTAAAGTGGTGTTATAGTGCTTTAAATGTACACATAAGTTTGGTCCTGGACAACTTCTCACAATGCCTTTCTGTGGAGTTAGTTTGCACTCGGCTATGAGTCATCAGTTAGTAAAAATGCATTTGCGGCGGAGCCCTAAAACCTTTTTGCCATCACCTGACAAAACAGTTCAGTCTCTTTCCACACTTCTTCCATGCACTAAACTTCCTCTTTTATACCACAATGAAGTAGCAGAATTTTAGGCTAGAACTCAAGTCAGGAAGTAAAACACATTTCCCCCTGAGCCAGGCCACTTTGATCTACAGGTGGGAGACTACATGTTAGAATGCTCTCCCACAAATTAAACTCCCCACATGTAGAAAAACAGCATATCAGGAAGGATAGGCTGAAATCCTCTCCCTTATTGCTATATTTCTAGGTGCAGAGGGGTGAGCATCTAAACATGTGATTCCCCACCTGTAGCCTGTTAGTACAGTCCATGAAAAAAGCGACAACTTACTACTGTTTAAGTTAAGGGGTGGGGCCGCACGTTGTGTACGCACCTATTGTTTGTGGTGGGTGCCGGCATCCCATCCCTTGACCACGTGTTTCCTCGTGATACTGTGCATGATAGTTAATCGTTGTTGTTTTTTTCTGTTTCTGGAAATAATTTCCATGCTCAACAATGGGGAATGAGTAGCAAAGCGGTGCCACCTCCTTTATGGCTTCCGAAACTCGATTTCCCTAGCAAATTTTTTAAAGCTAGATTCATGTTCCGAGCTGATAAAGGAATGTGTTTCAAGCCATTATTGCAAAGCTAGCTGTGGGATGCAAATATGAGGCTGTAGCTGATCAAATACACCCCTTAGTAGAGACTAGAACTAGGCTGGGGAACTTCAGGCCCCCAAGTCTCTCCCTCTGACCCACGGGAGTCTCCTTAGGCCACACCCCCTTACTAGCCACAGCACTGTTTAGCACCCTCCGGGAGCACTTCCGCCTTGGACTTTGGTCGTGTTGGGTTTTTTTGCCTGGCTGATGGACAAAGAGGGGTGTGTGAATGTGTCTCAGTGTGTGGAGAAACTAGAGTGACATTTATAGCATATTCTCCAACATCCCTCAGATAAAAATAGGGACATTTCTCACTCCCCTCCAACTGTCCGTCCTTGACCCTCCCTTTTTTTTAATTGATGCATTTTCCAAAATTTATTACATACATCTTACAGTCCTTTTCTAATCATCTCATATCACATCTTAAGACTTCCCCATCCATCCCTCCTCGACATCCTAGCTGAACTTTGTTAAGCTGCATATCCTTTCATTCAACCCCATTACCTTCTCCATAAATTCCTAGTGGTTGTTTACTACCGCACATAAGTTCATCAACACTTAGAAGTCTATTTGACTGTTGTACCTCTTTAGATACTTCCAAAGTATTCCCACTCCTCCCTTATCTATGTCTCATCCTAACCCCCATTTTTGGTCCTTCCTCCTGCAGAACATTTCCTATCCGAAGAAGGGTGAGTGCCACCAAACCAATGGGACACAGCACACACACTATTCTATTCTATTCTATTCTATTCTATTCTATTCTATTCTATTCTATTCTATTCTATTCTATTTGCACAAAGAGAAACACACACCAATAAATAATATTTTTTTAGAAAGGGGCAATATTAGAAGCGGATGCACAAATAATTTTATTTTTTTAAAAACCAAGACTCCTTGTCTCCTCTCTGCTCCCCTTTTCTTCCATGCCCTCTTCCCACCCCTTCCACCACCACCCCCGGGGCGGCCCCCTGCCTGCCACTCAGAGCTGGCACGTCACACAGAGCTGGGCCTCGGCAGTGGTGGCCTCCCCTCATCCGCTCTCCGGCAGCAACTACAAGCTGTCTAAGGAGGGGACTGACAGTGGCAGCTATGGAGAGGCCACGGGATACATCCTCACGCTCAGGACAAATATCCTCCTTGCGGAGCTCAGCAGTAACAGCACTAGCGGGGGAAATAGGGACTTTCCGGGATCACATCAGAAGCCAGGATGGCTTCTGTACAGTGGTACCTCGGGTTACAGATGCTTCAGGTTACAGGCTCTGCTAACCCAGAAATAGTACCTCAGGTTAAGAACTTTGATTCAGGATGAGAACAGAAATCGCGGCACCGTGGCAGTGGGAGGCCCCATTAGCTAAAGCGGTGTCTCAGGTTAAGAACAGTTTCAGGTTAAGAACAGACCTCCGGAAGGAATTAAGTTCTTAACCCAAGGTACCACTGTCCTTCAGGGACTGTCCCTGGAAAATCGGTGCACTTGGAAGGTATGTTGTGACATACATCTGTGGCCCCACCCACCTGTTGCATATGGTGCCAAGAATTTTGCCCTGAAAGGAATATGGACCTCAGGCTGAGAAAAATTCCCTTCATGGAATTTTGCAATTTTAGTTCTAACTGACCGATGCATTTTTAAATGGCACAAATAGTAGGGAAACACTGCATTAAAACGAAGGTGCTAACAAAAATTGCACAGGTATGCATTATATTGGGGAAATGACTTGCAAAAATCTGTATATACGTTAGTCAAAACTGCGTACAAAAAATGTCTTTATTAGGGGAAATTGAGATTTATTTCTTTATTATTATTATTATTATTATTACTAAAGCAGATTGCTGCAAAACATGGAGAAATGAATTTAAGATTACAAAACTGAGAAACTGAGAGAAATGAAATTGACAGATCCTTCCAAATAAGTGGCCTGGCATGTGCCATAGCTCAGCAGTGGAGCAGATGCTTGGCATGTAGAAGGTTCCAGTTTACGACCTGGCATCTCCCAGCGATCAGGCAGCAGGTGAGGATGGGAAAGAGCTCTGCCTGAGAGGCGAGAGAGCTGCTGCCAGCCAGAGTGGGCTAGAAGGACAAAGAACTGCTATGTTCTGCTTCTTGAGTTCCCATGTACAGTGGTACCGCGGGTTACAGATGCTTCAGGTTACAGACTCTGCTAACCCAGAAACAGTACCTCGGGTTAAGAACTTTGCTTCGGGGTGAGAACAGAAATCGTGCAGCGGCGGCAAAGGGAGGCCCCATTAGCTAAAGTGGTACCTCAGGTTAAGAACAGTTTCAGGTTAAGAACGGACCTCCGGAACGAATTAAGTTCTTAACCCGAGGTACCACTGTACCCTGATTTTTTAAATTATTATTATTATTTAAAACAGCTTTAAGCTCCAGAGCAAGGAAGCCTTCTTTGAGGCAAAGCTGAGAAAGTGCAAACTAATTCAAAATGCACTGTCTCCTATTCACATTTCAGCACCTTTGCTCTCATCATAGTGTCTATTTTTAGACTAGAATGAGTCATTCTGTGTTTCTGTGTTTTCTTGACTCCCTTCCTCCCTGCCGCTGAAGATACGGAGCTGGTGGTGACCTCACAATGAGGGAATTAACCCTTTTTTCCCTTTGCCCGACACAGGCAGGTGTAAATGTTATTGCATTTTTCTCTCATGAGGCAACCCTCGGCGAGTGCTCTCTGTTTCTGCTTGCATCTGTAAACCTGTTTTGTGTGGAGTTGCTTTGCACATCTGACTCCACCTTAGGCCACTGGTTCATCAGTTTCTCCATGTCATTTTCTCTGTTTGCCCCCAACAACAGACTTCCTTCCATTGGGCAAGTCTCTCATCACACCATGTCTGGACGTCAAAATCAGACTCCCACAACTTGGTGTGGCGCTGCACACCTGATGTCGGGGAGAGCGGCTGATGGGAGTTGTGGTCCAAAACATCTAGCAGACTGTGGCATTCGTACAGAGCCCCCGGTCGTCTCACGGACTATTGACCCGTACACCACTAATCCGCTGCCACCAACCAGGTCCTCC